TCCACTAACAGCTAGGGGGTCTGGTGGCATGCCCCCCAGAAAATTTTGAGAAACTGAAGCGTCTTAGGTATGTTTCTGCGATTTTTAGCTGATAAATTTATCGATCGAAACTGAATGATAATGCGTCATTTTCATTGCCAAAAACCTAAAATGGATTGAAACTGAAGTTCCCTCTGCCAATATTAAATGCATCAGTTGTGTTTCTTCAGTTTTTTTGTTTTTTTTCATGAAGAAAGTGAGCAAATATTGTTGCATGGCAAAGAGTTTTTGAATTAACTATTGTGGTCACTTTGAAGGTGACTATGAAACAACACATGCTGGTTCACAAGTTAGCAATTCATGTATCCACCAACAAGCGCTCCTCAGAAGGAATGCTTCTTGCCGGTTACGTGAAGTTCCTTTCGGTGAAATCGGATCACTGCTTTATTTGTTTATTTTCTCCTGAAAAGTGGCCGTTCTCAGGATGGCTGGATGGCCACCTGACTAAAAGCCTGGTCCAGGGGCAACATGACCTAATAAGAGGTCAGCGACACTCAGTCTCAACAAATCGTTCATTTCTCTTTACATCAGTAGTTGATCTTTTAAACAGGTCTGGTAATTAATTAACAGCAGGGAAAGATTTCCTGTTTGATTGAAATTGTAGCAGAACTATTTGGTCATTCTAGCATGGAAATTAGCACTTCTTCTACTCCATGTTTGCAGCTCACTTTAGTGGGCTTGTTTATTAAAAAGAAGCAAGCACAATTCAGCTCAGCATCATTACTTTGTTACTTGACATAATAAAGTGTACTTGAATATGAGCCATTCTTCTTTTTTCCTTCTCTGCAGATTTGGTGATGGTGTGCAACACTTCAAAGTTTTGCGTGATGGGTCTGGCAAGTATTTCTTGTGGGTTGTAAAGTTTAATTCACTGAATCAGTTGGTGGAATACCATCGCACCTCCTCCGTCAGCAGATCACAATCAATATATCTAAAAGACATGATGGAAGAAGACCAGTTGGTAAGAATTTTCTAAAATTGTACATAATTTGTTTTGAGTTATTTTTTTGTTAAAAAAATACCTCAAAGTCAACGGGTCTGGGGTTTGTTATCATCGGGTCAATGGATCAAAGGATCAATGGATCAATGGATCAGTGAGAGATGTATGTATGTCACACCAATCAGATTGGAGCTACTATAAACAACCAATCAAATTGCCGCTTGTTAACGTGAATCATGTGTGTGGAGATTTCATCCTGATTTTAGAACGGCCATCTTTGTTTTTCTACAAACAGAAACAGGTATTCTTGTAGGGGCCTTATTTTGACGTTTCCTATGCTTTGTTTGCTATGGTTGAGCCCAGGACTTTGTGGATGGGTTTCAAAAGAGTTCAGAATTCGATCATCAGCTGAAGAATCATAGTCTTATTGGCATACACTAACATGTCATCAAGGCTTTGTCCCAAGGGCTTTGCTTTCCCATCACATGAAAGTGTGAATGAAATGAGTCT